TTTCCACACTCCATCAGATCACCTTATTTTTGGAATGGGAATAAATATGGATCTCTTCCAGTCACGTGACCAGGTAGTTGTCCTCCAGATTTCTTGGCATAACCTAGTGAGCAAGTCCAGGGCTGCATTTGTTTATTGAAATATGTCAGTTGATATCCCATCAATTCATGAGGCCTTGTTGGCCTTGTTTTTTCAGTTACTTCAGAGCCTGTTGTTGTTGTTGTTCTGTGCAGTCGAGTCACTTGTGACTCATAGCGACCCTATGTACAACAGCTCTAAACTCTGCTCTGTTCTGTGCCAATCGCACTGTCTCTGACACTCCCATCCCGATTATCCCAGTCGCTGAATCAATCCACCTCATAGAGGGCCTTCCTCTCCTGCGCCGTCCCTCCACCCTCCCAAGCATGATGTTCTTCTCCAAGGACTGGTCTCTCCTCACAACATGTCCAAAGTGTGTCAGACAGAGCCTCAGAATCCTTGCCTCTAAGAAGCCACCCGGTTTAACCCTTTCCAGGATGAATCTGTTTGTTTTCCTAACAGTCCATAGTACTCTCAATAGTCTTCTCCAGCACCACAGCTCAAAGGCATCAATTCTCCTTCTATCCTTCTTGGTCATTGTCCAACTCTCTGATGAATAGCAAATGATTGTGAAGACTATGGCCTGTATCAGACGCACCTTAGTCTCCAGAGAGACACCATTGCTCTTAAGTACTTTGGAGAGGTCCCTAACAGCAGACTTTCCCATGGCAATGCGCCTTTTAATTTCCTGGCTACTGGTGCCAAAAGTGTTGACTGTGGAGCCAAGCAAACTAAAGGTGTGAACAATCTCAATCTCTTCACCATCCATCTTGATGCTGCCAATTGGTCCAGTGTGTTCAGAGCCTACCCACTCTTTATGCTGCAATAGTTCTGACTTCTTTTTTTGGGGGGGATTTTTTCCTCACTTTGTAATACTTCACTTTGTCCACTTAAAAGTTTCTATACAAATTAAACTGTGATAGTGATCAAAATTTTCAGTGTGACAAGGTTGCCATTATTTCCATTGTTTGTTCTGTTTCTATTGATTTAACTCTCCTTCCTAGCTTTGCTTTCTCATCTATCTTTTGGATAAATGTTAAGCATATGGTTTTGTTTACTGGATTGCTTAAGGAAGCACGTTTCTCATGAGTGATATTGTTTCTTTTAGAAGCTGATCTATTACTTGCTGAAAGATGAGTTATAGGAGTAACTTGTGTGGCCGTTCAAAGGATATCTTAGCTCAACAGTCTCAGATTCCTGTATTGTGTATTAGTTCAGTAGATCTGGTCTTGTTTAGAAATTAAAAAAATTCTGTCCTGCATCTTTCTTCAATTTTATCTGACACCTTCTCTTTGGTACCAGAATGGTCAATAGTGGTAGATGGGCACCATCTAACTTTCAGAATTCTTTTCAGATTTTTTTATGTAATTTAAATCTTTACACTTAATAGTTAGAATATTCTTGTTCCCCTGAAATCAAAAGTAAAATACTTTATATTGTTTGAGATGGGGCTTTTATTCTCCTTATACTTCTGCTTTGGGCCTGAAATAGCTGATACCATTTTAACCATTGCTTTGGCCCGGGTTGTCATTTTTGTTGTTCCTTCTCAGCCCAGAGTTGTTGTCTGGGTTTTTTTTGGGTTTTTTTGACAGTCTGTGTTTCCAAAATTAAAATTATTCTCTACACTGTTGTTAGATTTTTTGAAAACCCAACAATGATCATGTAATTTCCCTACTATAAATCATCTGTAGTTTTCCCTATCACCTCATTTCCCTACTATAAATCATCTGTGGTTTTCCCTATCACCTTGTTGTTCATCATTGATCTTGTCATATGTGCTGTTGAGTCAAAACTGACCTATAGCTTGACCCTTCAGTGGATTTTCATAGGTAGTAAATCACTCAGGAAAAGATTGCCCATCCTTATTCTGTGAGCATCTGATGGAAGGAGCCATGTGTGTTTGGGATTGTAGCACAACTTCTTAACCTACTAGGCCACCAGAACTCCCATAGAAGTAAGGAATTGCACTGCCAACTCAAAGGTACACAGTTTGACTCTACCAGCTCTCTTTCTGTGTGATTAACTGACTCTGAAAACCTGATGGAGGGTCAGCTATTGATTGGTTCCAACTTGACAGTACATAGCAGCAGCAACAATAATGTACACAGGCCCAAAATGCTCCCTGATTCTTTACCATCTTCATGATTACTGTTATATCTGAGTCTATGTTGTGTTTATTGTAGCAGTAGTCCTCAATGAGAGTTTCTTTAATTTTTATTGGCTCTCTATTTCACTAAACGTGATGTCCTTTTCTGGACTTTTCTGATGTGTCCAAAGTGGATGAGTCAGAATTTTGTCATACTCACCTCTGAGGAACATTCTGGTTGTATTTCTTTCAAGGCATATTTGTTTATCCTGGAAGTTCATTCTATGTTTAATATTCTTTTCCCTTAATCACAATTTGAGTGAATTAAGTCTATCTTCCTTTTCCCATCATCCAACTTCTACATGCATATTGAAAATACCACAGCTAAATAAAATAAAATAATAAATACCATAGCTTGGGTCAGGTATACCTTAGTCATTAAATTGATAATCTTTGCTTTTAAAAATTTTTAAGTGGTCTCTTGTACATATTTACCCAGTGCAGTGTATTATTTCTTGGCTTCAAATTCTATGAATATTAGTTGTTGACTCAAGAAGAATGACATAATTACAGGTTCTTCTTTATTTATTGTGGTGCTGTTTATATCAGTCCAGTTGTGAGGATTTCTGTTTGCTACATATGCAGATATAGTCCATATTGGAACCTGTAGCCTCTGACTTTCATCAGTAAGAGCTTCAAATTTTCTTTATGCTCAAGCAGGAAAGATTATGTCATCTGCATCTTGTTAGTTAATGAATTGTCCACTGTTGATCCGGTATTCTTCATTATATAGTCCACCTTCTCTGGTTTGTTGCTCAGCGTAGAGATTGAATAAGTAAGGTGAAAGGATATAAGCCTGCCACATACCTCTTCCAGTTATGAACCACACACAGTTCCATTGTTCTGTTCAAATGGTTTGTATATAAGTTCTGTATGAAAGAATTGGAAACAACGCAAGTGCCCATTAACGAAGGGATAGAGAAGCTGTGTTATATTCACACAATGGGATATTATGCAGCACTGAAAAACAAAGAACTCAGGAAATATTCTACAAAATGGGTGACCATGGAGGACATTATGCTGAGTGAAATATTTCAGTCACAAAAAAGACACATACTGCATAATGCCACTATTATAGAACAGGACTGATATGGGGGTTGGGGGGACCTAAGAAAAGAGGGGGTAAATAATGTACACTGCATTGAAACAGATGACAGAGAGAACTGTATAAAAGGAATATATCATTAAGTATTCTTGGCATGACAGGAGTCAAGAATAAGAGTTGCATAGTAAAGTGATGGTGGTGGTGGTGGGGGAACGACTGTATAACAATGAAAGAACTTTTTTTTCCAAAGAAAAAAGTTGAACTGGGGAGCAGGGGGAACAGGGAGGAAAATGTGCAACAGTGAATGAGTAGAAACCCAAGTTCTTTATAAACTTTAATTAAAATCTAAAAAAAAAAAAAAGACTTGAGTGCTAATCTTTTGAATATTATCTGTAATTTGCTGTGATTCACACAGCCAAGTGCCTTCATACAGATAAAAAAACCACGGGTAAACATCTTGCAAGCTAGAGTCTATACTCCTTAGATTAAAAGTTTCATGATTGACAGCCAGTTCCACTCTGCATCTGGGGAGGCTCACAGCGCTCGGTGCCCTGCCCAGCTTCTTTCAAGATGTCTACTGTTCACGAAATTCTCTGCAAGCTCAGCTTGGAGGGTGATCACTCCACACCCGCAAGCGCATACGGATCAGTCAAGGCGTATACCAGCTTTGATGCAGAACGGGATGCTTTGAACATTGAATCAGCCATCAAGACCAAAGGTGTGGATGAGGTCACCATCGTCAACATTTTGACCAACCGCAGCAATGAACAGAGGCAGGATATTGCCTCGCCTACCAGAGAAGGACCAAAAAGGAACTTGCATCAGCACTGAAGTCAGCCTTATCTGGCCACCTGGAGACAGTGATCTTGGGCCTATTGAAAACACCTGCTCAGTATGATGCCTCCGAGCTGAAAGCCTCCATGAAGGGACTGGGGACGGATGAGGACTCCCTCATTGAGATCATCTGCTCCAGGACCAACCAGGAGCTGCAGGAAATCAACAGAGTCTACAAGGAAATGTACAAGACCGACCTGGAGAAGGACGTTGTTTCGGACACATCCGGGGACTTCCGCAAGCTGATGGTTGCCCTCGCCAAGGGCAGAAGAGCAGAGGATGGCTCCGTCATTAACTATGAGCAGATTGACCAGGATGCCCGGGAGCTGTATGATGCTGGCGTGAAGAGGAAGGGAACAGATGTGCCCAAGTGGATCAGCATCATGACAGAGCGCAGTGTGTGCCACCTGCAGAAAGTGTTTGAAAGGTACAAGAGCTACAGTCCTTTGGCATGCTGGAGAGCATCAAGAAGGAAGTCAAAGGAGACTTGGAAAATGTTTTCCTGAACCTGGTCCAGTGTATCCAGAACAAGCCCCTGTACTTTGCTGACCGACTGTATGACTCCATGAAGGGCAAGGGAACTCGCGATAAGATCCCGGTTAGGATCATGGTCTCCCGCAGTGAAGTGGACATGTTGAAAATTAGATCTGAATTCAAGAGAAAGTACGGCAAGTCCCTGTACCACTTCATCCAGCAAGACAC